CCTCAGCATGCATTTCTTGCAAAAGCACTTGGAACTCTTGCACTTGGCTCACCACTGTGAATCAACCATTTCGAAGTCCATGCACCGACTGGCCAATAATTTCTTAGACCTAACATCCTTAGTCTTGTACTTCTTTTCTAAGGACTCACAAAACTCCTTAGCAGACTTGTTACCATATATATGTGATACAGAGAATTCTATAGGCCATCCAAGACATAGTTGCGACACAAAAAATTAACACTTTCCATGCATTCCAAGCCGCAAGCCTATGCATATTAGTGTCATTTTCAGCCACGACAGGGACATCCTCGGTGAAGAAATGTGCAAGACTCAAAGTAGTAAGATAAAAAATCATCTTATTTTGACATATCTTAAAATCAGTACCAGCAAACTTATCTGATCAAATTGCATGATTCACTGGAAATGGAGTCGGAAATGATGGCAAAGGTGTTGAGACCGCAGCCCTAGGCATTGGCAAAGGTATTGTGCCAAACTGGATTGCCAAGGCCGTAGGCAAAGTTGGGTTCACTCCAACATGAGGAATCCTGCTTCCAATTATCCCGTCAATGGAAGGAATGCCAGCCGTGGTCTCCATAGGGTTAACAACGGTCATTGCAAGATTTGGTATACCGGTACCAACAGTGTTGCTTCCGTTGTTCACATCGTCATTTTCATGTGACGCCATTGAACTGAAATTTTTTTTCCTTCCAGAAATGATGATCAGAAAAGAATTTTATCCACCAAAAAATTCGATTTAAACTTGTAGGTAAATATTAGATAATCAAATAATACTGAAGAATCAAATCAAACCGAAGGCCTGTGTATTCACAGTTTCCTTAAATCGAATTCACCGCCTCACCGGAGTGCAAGAGGTTTTGATCAGTGTTCGATTCCCAAGATACAATTGGTTGTCGGTTCACGCTACACTACTTAACCGGCCTACGAACTGGTTGTGATATACTCTATTTCTCAAATGAATAAAAATGAAAAATTTAAACTAGAAAGAGGAAGGTTGATGTTGGAATTAAGGGTTTTGTTATTCCTTGTTGTTTCAACTGAGAGCCAGCTCTTTAATGCATTGAATAAGGAGTTACATCATTGAAGAGATGAAACTGATGAAATTCAAACGAATTCAGACGGTGAAGTTGAACGGATGATGAAACTGAATGTTTTCATTCAATATTTTCCAATAACCCGGACATCCACGGTTATAAAAAAAAATCATAATCTGGAAAATACTTAATAAAATACCATAGAATTATCTAGTAAATTCATCTATTAAAATTATAAAATACCATAGTGGTTGGAATGGAGTAAGTGGCCCACACCGCAAATAACTTTAGTAGTGTAAATTTATGAAGTATGCAATATCAAGTTATAATTTAATAATGCGTTATCTATACATTTCATGTATATTTCAATTTGGTCCTCAACCATTAAAAAGGGTCCTTTATATATTTCAATTTGGTCCTCAACCATTAAAAAGTGTCATTTACATCTTAAACATTTTTATTTCTTAGCACTTAGATCCTTGGACGACTTGTACCCTCGATTAAATCACACTATTGATGATATCTAATATCACAATAAAAATACAACACATGCAGTACAATCAAATACAGAACATAACAAATCTAGAGGCGCTATTTTGATCAAAAATTGATCATCAACTATAAAAAAATCTGTGAAGTATGACGCACTTTGTCGGTTCAAATCGAATGGTTAGAACTTATTATTACGACTAACTAATTTTTAAAAATTATCAATTTTGCTATGAGTAATTAATTAATAAAATTTTTGATCATTTAGTTTTTCTTTTCTCCTGCAGTATCCCAATTCTCATCAATGGATGGGAAGATGAGGTCCATGCTATTGTTGCTGCTACTACCAGAATTAAACATTGCATCAGCCAAATCAGACACCGGCTGGTAGACCGGAAACCGCGGGCCGGATGGACCCACACTGCCACTACCACCAGCCGCGACACCGCTACTACTACTAGGCCCGGCACCACCAGGGAATGGAAACGCTAGAGTATCGAAAATGGTGGGTGCAGCCTCCACTTCCGGCGTTGGCTTTATTTCCATAGACAACCAATGACTTAAGGGTGGCTGCATGGCGGTGGTTTGTGGAATTGTCCCGTGTTCAATAGGTGGTGGTATGGAAACGGATAGGGGGGCGGTGGAGATGTTGCACGTGTGATTGCCTCGATATGTTACCTCGAATGTGTAGAAATCATCGTCAAGCCGCTGGACTTGCTTCTTGGCCGGGCATTGGTAAAGTTTTTGATGGGTGCATCTGTAGTAGCTCCTGAAATGTGAGGATGAAATTTGAAAATGGTCGAACATAATTTTAACCTCAAATTTCACATCACTCATTTCTTGAAAAGTAATTTTTTTTTTAATAAATTGGAATGAAACCCAAACGGGGGCTATTCATATGAAGAAACATCCAAACTCTTTCGTATGCCCCTTTCTGAGGTATCATTTTCATTGAATAGGTTACATAGCAAAAGAAGAGAACTTATCGACTAGTAGCATGCCAGGAACCAGATAGAGATTGTAATTCTTTTTACTTCGACTCGAAGGAAGTCATTACATAGCTATGAAACACGTTTGATCCTTGACATTTTCATATCTTTAGACTTTGTCATGTAAATTGTCCATTAGAATGAAATGGAAATTAAATAGTTACTATACAGATATATACCTTGGATGTTTACATCCCAGAATCTCTTTCTGACCATATTTTCTCCAAGTAAAACCGTCTTCCGGTGGAAGATCGAGATTTCCCATCTGAGGAGCAGGTACCCTTCTCACTATTTTGTCAGCTTCATCCTTTCTATATAACCAAAAGTATAAGAACCCATTGACACATGGGAAATATATGGATTTTGTGTAATTTGTACACTAGTGGGTAGAAATACGAAATATATAAAAAAAATTGAAATGATAATATTAGAAATGCCAGATGTGGTGCATCAAGGACGAAAGATAGTTTATTTAAGCGATCGAGATAGAGATATAAATTGTCTTCAACATACCTCGTCTAGGTGGGTCGTTTTTCTTGCCAAAGGCTTAACATGTACACTATTTTCATAAATAAATGGAGGCAAAACTCGAATGCAACACATTTGAATGTTGTGATTCATGTTGAATGTGTGTTGACATGAGCTAAATTCAGTGCCTATAATATTTTTCTAGTATGAGCATCTATTCTTGCATGAACTAAAGATTATTTAAGCATATTCTACATTGGTTATAGATTAGCGTCCCTCTAAGGAGAACTTACTTTGTAAGAACAAAGGCATGCACATTGTCAAGGAACCCGAATTTTCTTACCTTCTTCTCTGTCGTTGAGAAGATGGAGTTCCCGGGCTGGGATTCCATGCATCCATTGGCTTAATCTCCAGTCCCCGACTGCCCCTCAACCCCTCTGCGTCACCTTCCATAACCCTTTCACCACCCATTTCATGACCTATGAATTCCAAACCGTGGGCGTCATGGTATGGGCTGCTGTGGCCTAAAATAGCTTGAGCCTTGAGCAAATCCATTGCCTGATTATCAGTACTTGTTCCTGCACCACTTCTTAACCATTCCTGAATTCCTAAATCAAATTGCCGATGAACAACTTCACGGGATAATCTCTCTTTTACACTACTAAACACTCTAATGATCTCATCACATGATCTAAGAATAAAATCAGGTTGGTTAGCCAAATTTGGTAGGTTTTCTTCTAAGTTTTTTGCCAACGTACACCCGTATAAAATCAACGCTCTGTTTTCCTCCATATTCTTTTCTGGGGTTATTTTGTGTTTGAAAAATTGTACGTTATAACCTCATTTAAAGGAGTAACAAAAATGATTAAGAGTATGTTTCTGTGTTGGTGCCTTTTGGGAAAAAATGTATAAAGTTATTCAAAGTATTTGCAAATTTTGAACACGCAGAGTAGAAGAAACTTTAGGAAGTTATGACCAAGTCACTGGTCTAATTCCTAGCAATTTTTCACGTTCTTGACCACCGCAAGTCCACGAGAAGACTTGGCCTTATTGAACCAAAATGAAAGGTCCCGATGAAGAATTTTCTTAAGTTTGAAAATTTGACTAACTATATAACTAAAAATTCATTTGAATTATATAGTAAAAAGGGTTAATTAGTAGGTGGATTAAGATAAATAATATGGTAATCAATTAGGTTATTTGGGTTGGGTTTGAAAACTTGACTTCCTAAGTCAAGACCATCTGGAACTAAGAAAACTTTATCTTAGATTCTTGAATTCTAAGACACATAGTTTCTTTGAAACTGCCCAATCCACGACGAATGTTTTCGTTCTTTGGTAAATATTTGATACCTTGGAACTTTCCTCTTCTTTTTCCTAGCTTGTTGGGAAAATTGCAGCCGCAATTCTCAAACTTTAACAATTACTGAAAGAATTGTATAAAATGGTGTTGGTTCAAGTTGCCAAGACCAGAGAACTTGTATTCATTTATATAGAGTTTACAACATAAAGGCTGAGATTCTGTACATAGAGATATGCAGATTAAGAGGAGGGAATAAAGGTTAGAAGTAAGGAAAGGAGAATATTATGCAATAATCAAGTAATCATCTCTTCCTATAATCACGTCTCTTCCAATATAGGTGGCTGATTATTAGGTATCTTAACATCCCCCCGCAAGCGAATAGGGGGAAGACGAACCATGAGCTTGTCCTTGAGAAAGAGAAACCGAGAAGAAGTAAGTCCCTTTGTGAAAATATCGGCAATCTGGTCATGTGTAGAAATAAACTTAACAGCAACATCCTTATTCAAAACTTTCTCCCGAATAAAATGAAAATCTACCTCCACATGCTTAGTACGAGCATGAAAAATGGGATTGGATGCCAGGGCAATAGCCCCCAAATTATCACACCAAATAGTAGGAACACTTGTAAGAGGAACCTGTAAATCTTTGAGAACCATCCTGATCCAATAGAGTTCAGCAACAGTCATCGCCAATGCCCGATATTCCGCCTCAGTACTTGATCGAGCAACAACTGATTGCTTTTTAGCGCACCAAGAAATTAAACAAGGACCTAAGAAGGTACAAAAACCTGTGGTGGAGCGGCGGTCATCTGGATCTCCCGCCCAATCAGAATCACTAAATGCTTGAACGTGAAGACACACTATGGAGATACAGTACCTTTAAGATAGCGAAGGACCCGTTTGGCAGCCTTCCAGTGTGTAGTAGTAGGAGCATGAAGATGTTGACAAAGCTGATTGACAGAATAAGCAATTTCCGGACGGGTAAGAGTGCAATATTGGAGAGCACCAACAATTTGACGATATTCGGTGGCATGAGAAAGAGGATCACCACTAGATGCAGCAAGTTTCGAACCTGAGGTACATGGTGCAGGATACGGCTTGGCACCAGCCATATGAGCACGATCTAGAACGTCCAAGATGTATTTGGATTGACGGAGATGTAAACCATGAGAGTCACGGGTGACTTGAATTCCAAGAAAATAATGAAGAGACCCCAAATCCTTCAAGGCAAAGTCAGATTTTAATTTCTGAAGTAATGAGGCAATGAATGAGTTATGTGATCCTGTAATAAGAATGTCATCCACATAGATCAAAATAAAAATATGAACATCTTCTTGATGATAAGTAAAAAGAGAGTGATCAACCGATGAACCCACAAATCCAAGTTCCAAAAGACATTGAGAGAATCGATTAAACCAAGCTCTAGGAGCCTGCTTTAATCCATAGAGGGCCTTATTAAGACGACATACATAATGTTGACGTTGTGGATCAACATAGCCTTGAGGTTGAGAAATGTAAACTTCTTCATCAAGAGTACCATGAAGGAAGGCATTAGACACATCCAATTGCTTGATATCCCATCCAAAGTGTACGGCAAGAGTCAAAACAATGCGAACAGTGGCAGGTTTAATAACAGGACTAAAAGTCTCAAAAAAATCAATGCCACTAATTTGATTAAATCCCTTAGCCACCAAGCGAGCTTTGCAACGATCAAGAGAACCATCCTCATTTTGTTTAGTCTTATAGACCCACTTAGTGTTAATAACATTATGATCAATAGGTCTGGGACAAAGGGTCCATGTGTTATTAGCAAGTAAAGCAGCATATTCCTCATCCATTGCCTTTTTCCACTCTGTAGAAACTATTGCTTGTGAGAAATTCAATGGTTCTTTAGGTAAAGAAAACGTGGCCAGGGCAGATATAGGATATCGAGTAGAATAGTGGGTAACGAAATCAGGGAAATGCTTGGGCCGTGAAGAGCCAGTTTGTGATCTTGTCACAATTTGATTGGAAGGAAGAATGGAATAATTGGGAGGTAATGGCGATGAGGTGGCAGGATGAGTGGAATCCATGACTATGGGTTCAATGGGAGAGATGACCGACTGAATGGGTGAAGAATCTTCTATAGACTGAGAATTATTGTCCAAAAGTGGCAAGGTATGGGGAGTGATGAAAGTATTCGAGTTGGATACCTGTTCATGAGTGGAGTGATGGTAATCGGTGGGAAATGTGTCGTTTTGGTAAAAAAAGCTGCTGCTTGAACATGTAACAGGTGAAAAATCTTCCGGTGGACGAGTGACGATGGACGTATCCTTGGCTGGAAACAATTTCTCATCAAACACTACGTGCCGTGATAAATATACTCTCTTTGAGATGGGATCAAGACATCGATAACCGCTATGATTGGACGAGTAGCCTATGAAGATGCATTGTTTACTACGAAAAGCGAGCTTGTTTGTACTATAGGGTCTAAGGAGAGGGTAACAAGCACACCCAAAGGATTTTAGTTGAGAGTAATCAGGCGATCTTTTGAACAGGAGACTGTAAGGAGAGTCGGAATGTAAAACGGGAGTTGGAAGTCGATTGATGAGAAATATGGCAGTGGAAAATGCATCGACCCAAAATTGTTTTGGAAGATTGGATTGAGCCAATAGGGATAGTCCAATTTCCATAATATGACGATGTTTTCTTTCGGAAACTCCATTTTGTTGAGATGTATATGGACAAGTAAGCCGATGGAGGATACCATGAGAATTAAGAAAGGAAATGAATTGATTTGAAGTATATTCTCCACCATTATCGGACTGAAATTGTTTCATTTTGCAAGAGAAAAGATTTTCTACTAATAGTTTAAATTTGACAAAGCAACTAAAAACTTCTGATTTAGTGGAAATAGGATACATCCAAGTAAAACGTGAATAATCATCAATAAAAATAACATAGTATCGACAACCACTGGAAGAGGGAATTGGAGAAACCCAAACATCGGAATGAATAAGATCTAATGGACTAACAGACACTCTACTGGACTGAGTAAATGGCAATTGTTTACTTTTCCCTAATTGACAAGAAGAACAAACAAAATCTTGAGAGAAGGACCCGGTAACCGGAAGCTTGAAGGTGGAGATGATTTGCTTGGTTACTTTGGAAGAAGGATGGCCAAGCCGAGCATGCCACACATCAAGAGAGGTTTTGATCCCAAAGAGAGCTACACTTGCACGGTAGTTATTAAGAGAAACTTTATTCAATGTGATAGGATAGAGACCACCTTCACTTGTTCCCTCCAGAAGTGTTTTTCCTGTTGTCTTGTCCTTGACAAAGTAATGAGTATCAGTTAGAATAAAATAACAATTGTTATCCACACAGAATTTATTAATAGAGAGCAAATTTATCAAGGCGTTAGGACAATGTAGGACATCTTTAAAGGATAATGATTTTTTAGGATTTTGGATAGAGAAGGAACCAATATTGGAAATGGAGAGACCAGATCCATTACCTACAGCCACCGAATCTTCACCAGTGTAAGGTTCCTGTAAAGACAAATTGGCAACTTCATTAGTAATATGTTGATTTGCCCCCGAATCAGCATACCACACGTTGGACTCGTCAAAAATATTGTTGCTTTGAGCAACCATTGCAGCGAGTTGAGTCGGTGGATGGCGCCCCTGATAACTGTAATCCATGCGATGATAGCAGTCCAAGGCTTGGTGACTTGTTTTGCCACAAATCTGACAGGGAGTGCGAGGATTAGAATTGCCATTGCCACTAGACATCAGATTGGAAGGCCCTTCTTGTACCTTAAAATTAAAAGATCTTCCTTGTGGATGAGATCTTGAAAATTGTGGCTTAGATGAACCTTGTCTTGAAGAATATTTAGGAGGATAATTTGGTCTGTTACGCCGCTGTCCTCCCTCACGTGGATTTCTGCCAGCAACCATAGCAAAGGCGGGTTGCTCCATAGAAGCTAAATGAGCTTGGTTGTCAATCATTATCTCATAAGAAAGCAATTCTGATTGGAAGTCATCAAAACTCATGGTACTATATCGCAAGGCAAATGAAACAGATGTGACAAAAGGATTAAAGGCTGAGTTCAATCCACTCAATATGTAAGAGAGAAGATCGTTCTCACTTTCTGGCTTACCAACAAGTGTAAGCTGATCGGCAAGGGATTTGACATCAGCTAAATAGTCGGTGCATGTCCTATTTCCTTGTTGCAGTGTCTGTAGTTGGCGCTTGAGGCGTTGCACATGGGCAGGTGAGTGTGAAGCATATCGCTTGGCCAGAGAGTCCCACACTTGTTTGGCAGATGTGCGACCAAAAACAGAAGGAAGGACTTTATTTGTTAGAGTAGCATTCAGCCATCCTAGAACAAATTGATCCTTCTTGTTCCAGAGAACATATTCAGGATTAATATCCTCAGTAGACGTTCCCTCATATTCAAGAAATTTCTTAGGACAGGGTTCAGAACCATCCACAAATCCTAGTAAGTCG